ATTTTATAACATATTTATGTTATAATTTTAAATAAATAATTATATATATATATATATATATATATATATATATATATATATAAAGATTACTTAACTTTTAAATACCAATTTTTTGTTGTTTTCTCTAACTTTGATGTTTCTTGGTAAATGTCCATTTTTCTGAAGAACAGACATTTACCAAGAAATTTTGAAGTCAGGGTAAACAACAACAAAAAATAATTGATATTTAAAAGTAATCTTTTTATATAATATTATTAATGCTCTATTTTTAATATTGAGCACTATATATAAAAATATATGCTGTTTCTTATATATATATATATATATATATATATATGTATAAATATATTACATATATATATGAGAGAAAGAGAGAGAGAAATTTTGGACTTAAATAATTTTCTTCGATTGAATATTAATAACTACTCACAATTATTCAGTCTGCAATAAAACTCAAGAGTAATCCAATTTCAGCCATCCAAAAATAACATTCTGGTAACTTAAACTGTCATAGCATAGGAATTGTTAGATTTTGGATGAATGTGTACAGCTGGATAATGCAGTGCTGGAATGAACTTGTCAAAATTGAAATTGGGAATTCCATGTACACCTGTGAATTGTGTGATTGTAAAACTCACTAATGAAAGAGAGGAAGCAGCTTCATCTCATTCCAATCGACCTGGGCTATCAGAAAAATGTCTTCATGCAATGAGATGGGAAATTGAAATATTCCCTGTTGTAAGACAGAAGTTGTCAGCATGTGTTGTAAGCAGACCAAGGAAAGCCGTATAAAGAAAGGACACCTATTTCTCAGTCTGAATCAACTGTTATTCAAATAAAAATAGCACCATTTTCATAGACAATGTCGAGCTATATTAAATAAGAAAAAAATATTATGAAATAATTAATCCATTGGCATGAATTCTATTGCACATGCCAAAAGAAACAAAATAACCAGAAATACTTCCGTAAGAGGTTTGCTTTATTTGTCAGATCTCATATGGATATCATTCATGGTCCCCAAATCATTTAGTAAAGTCTATCATCTGTATACAACCATATTCAGTGATCAATAATTAAAAATGGCTTCAAGCCTCTATCTACATTTCTGAGATGAGGTATTATGTACACTATTTACATTATTCGGACTATTGTCCTCATTTTTGTTGCCATATTTATCCGATCCTTCAATATCTGTCTACATTTTTGGGATGACGTATTATGTACACTATTTACATTATTCAGACTATTGTCCTCATCTTTGTTGCCATATTTATCCAATCCTTCAATATCTGTCTACATTTTTGAGATGACGTATTATGTACACTATTTACATTATTCAGACTATTGTCCTCATCTTTGTTGCCATATTTATCCAATCCTTCAATATCTGTCTACATTTTTGAGATGACGTATTATGAACACTATTTACATTATTTGGACTATTGTCCTCATCTTTGTTGGCATGTTTATCACAACATTATGCCATTGTATGCCCTGGCCTTCTTCAGGTGGTTGGAATGTTAAACTGAACCCTTTATTTTGCTCACTGGGGTAGACTGTTCTAGTTCCACATGCCATGTCTAATGGATGTCAGTTATTTTCTGTTAATTCCCCTCTGAAATTTCTCCACTGCCTTAATCAAGTATTGAACTCACACTCTTTGTGCCCTCAAGGACACATGGCATAGTGGATAAAGGCATTTGTTAGATCCAGTGACAGGACCCAGTGTGAGTTCAATACCTGGTTAAGGCAGTGTTGCTTTCAGTTGAAATTTATTAAATCTTTCTATATAAACATTTTTTCATGGAAATAGTTTCATCGAGTTCAGTAATTGTTATTGATTTTTCCAGTACTTATAGGAGCTTCCTTCCTAACCTTTTGTTTGAAGTAGTGTGGAATGTCAGCATCTTCATTATGTCATAATTTTCTTGTTGGGTCACATGTACTATGCATTTTAGTTGTTGCTGCTGTTGGAAGTTCACAAGTAATGTAGTTTCTGTTATTTGATACAGATGTTTGTAATTTTATAGCACCAGGAGACAAATTTTGAAGAAGGATGGTCATCATTAAGATCTACGGGCTTCACTCACTTCAAGCTATCTTTAATCATTGATCTGAGAAAGCAATTGTGTGACAGTTTAGATATTTCTGAACACGTCTAATATCTTGCAGGGCATCCATATGAAGTTTTGATCTGAAGAGATTGAACATGACTTCTGTTTTTATGTTAACATTTTGGTTTTGTAGCAATTTGAAGTGTCGGGCAAAACTACCTCCAAAGCAGCCTATTCTATGTTCAATTTCCTTATCTCATATATTAAATTTGCTATTAGAAAGGGAAAAAATAAACTTGAGCAAGAATAAGGTGTAAGAATTATGTGGTTTTTATGAAATTGGATTAAGATCAACATTGCACAAAAACTTAGCTTTGCTTCTATCATTTCTCAATTCAACAGGGATACAGATTTATGTGTTATGTTGAAAGTGGATTAATATTTGTAATATTAAAGATGGTGGAGAAAGTTTACACATAAGAACTGGAGAGGAACAAAAAAATCATTTTAAGCAACTATGAACTACAAGGGAAAAAAGGTTTGGCACCAATCAGAGAAATATCTGTTGAAAGGAAAGGGGAAAATGGAAAACACAGAACAAACCACAAGGGAAAACATGAGAGAAATTTATGGGAAATTGTGAAAGCTTTTGCAGGTGAGCAAATGTGTGATAATTTCACAGGAAAAAAAATGGAAGACCAAATGTTTTTCTAAAAGGAAAAGAAAAAGAAGAGAAGTAGTAGAAGAGAGAAAGGAAGAAAAATGATAGGGAAAAAGAACAAAAGGGGAATAAAGAAAAAGAAGAAGAGGGAAAAGAAAAAAGGTGAGAGGAAAGAAGGAAAGAAAAAAGAGAAGAGTGGGAGAAGCAGTGGGGGATAGAGAAAAGAAGACGAGAAGGGAGGATGAAAAGAAGAGGAATAAGATGGAATAAAGAAATGAAAAATGAAGAAGAGGGTAAAGAGGAAAAAGAAGAAGAGGGTAAAGAGGAAAAAGAAGAGGAGGGTAAAGAGGAAAAAGAAGAAGATGGTAAAGAGGAAAAAGAAAAAGAGGGTAAAGAGGAAAAAGAAAAAGATGGTAAAGAGGAAAAAGAAAAAGAGGGTAAAGGGGAATAAAGAAAAGGAAGAAGAGATGAATAAAGAAAAGGAAGAAGAGAGGAATATAGAAAAGGAAGAAGAAGGAGGAAAAAAGAACAAGAGAAAAGGGAAAAAAAAAGAAAGGAAAAGAGGAAGGGAGAAAGAAGAGGAGAAGGATAAGGAAAAGAAGATGAAGGAGGTGAAAAGAAGAATGAAGGAGGGAAAGTCAAAAAGAATTTAAGAGGATGAGAGGCAAATAGAAGACAGAGGTCAAGAAGAAGAGGAGAATGGAAAAGAAAAGTACAGAAAAGGGAAAAGGAGGGGAAAGAAAAAGACAGGAGAGAAAGAAAACAGAAAAGGTGAGTCATTAGAAAGAAAATAACAAAAGCAAATCGTAAAACCTTCAGAGCAAAGAAAAAAAAAAAAACAAATTCTGGTGAGGGAGAAAAAAAAATTTAAAATCAAAAACTAAAACCTAGGAAAGAAAAATCGAAAGAGAGTTTTATTTACTGACGAAAAATTTAACACTGTTTGTGACATTTTGATTGATTTACAGTTTGTTCGGTTTAATAAAAATAAATCTTTTTGCAAGTTCCACACACCGACACAAACACACACAAATGTCATACATACGTACACACATATATATAATGTTTACACAAGGATTTTTACTTTAGTTTTGACAAATAAGTACGTGTACAGAATGTTCAATAAATCTTATCAGCATGAAACCAACTTTATCATTTATATATATACTCATATATATAGACAAGTAATTTTTCAGCAACAGATGGTACGCCATCTTCCTTACACCAGAAAAAAAAATGAAAGAGCAAATTTGAAATTCCTATATTCAAATTGCAGCAAATAATACTGGAAAGTAGAAAGTTCTCACTTTACTCTTTGTATCACAGAGGCGTTCAAAAACCTACGAAACTCCATGCTAAAAAATGATTATGCACTATGTTATCCCTAAAGTTTCTTCTTTTTCTGTGTGCCATGCCACTTCAGAATGCGGGTGATCATGGCTTTCCACAACTTCCTATCTTTTTGTAGCTTGTAGTAAGCTTTGACTTTTCACCCACTCTTCCAGCCATTCTTCTGCCATCCATTTATGCAAGCTCATTTTGTAGGATACTTGTTGCTGTTCCTCCTGCTTTAAGTGAGTGTTAAATTCCCCAAGCCCTCTTTCCTCATTAATTATTTAAAGTATTTCAACTGTTTCTTTCTGATTTTATGTATAAGCATACTTTTTGCTTCCCTTTTCCTTAAAACTTCCTCATTTCTCAAATGTTCAGTTCATGGTATTCTCAGCATCCTTCTGTAGAACATATTTCTGTTGCTTCAGGTCTCTTCTTTTATAGGTAAAGAGATTATCCAGCATTTATTGGTATAAACGAGAACAGATACTGCATAACAGTTCAGCACACGTTTCTGTTTCTAGTGAGATTTTTAGTTGCTTAGCTTTTCGAAGGCATATTTTGCTCTGCCAATGTCTCTTTGGATTTTTGACACATCTTCTGTTAAAATATTTCCCAGATATTTATATTTTCATACTTGCTTAAGGAATAGTTTCACTAATTCATGTTACTCATCACCATTCATCATTATGATTTTTCTCAATGCCAAAAGATTTGATTGATTTCCTTTTTTACAGTTTATCAACCCCAATCTCAATGAAGAAAACATTCCCCTGTTCAAAACACTGTAAATCTGCACAATTGTTTATAGTCATTGCGAGGTTGTGATGAGCCAATGGAAAGAACATTGATAAATTAAGAGACTACCTGTGATGCATATGATTTGAAACTGGTGGACTTGATAATGACTGTCAAAGGTCATATCATTGCATTATGAATCATTGATTAAA